CATACATACATGCATGCACAAATACATGCATACATACATACATACATACATACATACATACATACATACATACATACATACATACATTTCATTCATGCATACAGGAATACATACATACATGCATACATACATACATGAGTGCATAAACAAACACATGTATGGAAAGAGAAATGTATGTACATATATACATATATATATATACATATATATGTATGCATGCATGTATGTATGTATGTATGTATGTATGTATGTATGTATGGATATTGAGATGGCCTAAACCTCTGAAGCGTGATATCCCAATGCGAAAACCTTGAAATCCAGGAATTTCAAGGCTGATACTCCAAGGTCGTAGTGCACTGAACCAAAAGAAAGAGTGCCCTGAACGCCTTAAAGCCCCACCCGAGAACCCTTCTGAACCACATGAAAACGTTGAGTTGTGGACTTTGAACATGCAGTTTTCAATTTCGGGTTTGGGAAGCCGGTTTTCTTACAGGCTCAGGACCAGATTTGCTGAAACGACGACAGGTTGTAGGCATCCGGCTCCTTCGGACACCGGGTCCGATTTACTCTTGTAGAGGTGAAGACTCGGCCACCCTACCTCAGTGCCGAACACCGAGAAACCTCTCGGATGGTGAAGCTTCGTTTCGTAACGAGCCCCTAAACATCTCAACGTGCGGACCTCAGGTGCACTTTTTGGACCCCATGCGAGGCACACAGGAGACGAGCTGAAGCCAAGACTCCACTTAGACAAGTATCCTACAAAACTGTCTCCATTAACAGCAAGAGAAGCCAATCATCAAAGCCTACACGAGACCCTCAAACCCTCCTGGTGCCTAAAACCTAAGCCCACATCAATGTAGAACCCGTAAAGTGTAGAGCCTCAATCCTAGTGCCTAAACCTAAGCCCACATCAATGTGGAACCCGTAAAGTATAGAGCTCTTATAAAGAGACCTGTAAAGGAACCCTAACCCCAGCTGATCGCTTGTCCTCGAGCCGTTGCATCTCTGACTGGACGTCCACTGCTTTCTGCTCCAGCGCCTTCATCTGATCCTGTGCAGCGCTTTGGGTTCGGGGTTGTTTAGGGTTTAGGGTTTAGGGGAGGGAATGCGCCTTCGGTAAGCGCCTTTCGCTACAGGGCGGGTTTTCCTAATGTGTGTCGACCTTAACGATAACCCTGTACAGCTTGAAACCTTTTTGCTGCATGCCTCGTTGTTCAGCAGCAAACCCATCCTCCCTTAACTTTAAAGCCGGGAAACCCTAAACCCTCAAGCTTTAAACCTAAACTTTATACCTAAAGCCCTTTAAATACTCTATGCACACCCTAAACTCGAAACCCAACCTTCGGTGCCTCCGAGAGTCAAAACAAACTAGCTTCTCTTGTGAGGCAAGGTAGGCACAACTGCCCTGTAAACAAAAACCCTAAACTTACAGGGCTTATGCCCTCACATCCAAAAATTACGCCCTAAACCACCCTTGAGACTTCGCGATCCTGTACAGGCAGGCCCCCCAAGAGATGGATAAGAGTTGTCCCGACTGCTATGAGCTGTTCACCTCCACCATCAGACATCATGGAAAACACAAGCTCCCATATCTCGCATGTGCTCAACCTTCTTCTGCGTGCCCTCTTTAGCTACTGGTCGTTCGATACGTACTATTACTAGCCGAGCTTGCAACGATACATCCCATGATGCACGACCAAACAGGTCGTCCTTCACAATCTGCATGGAACCCCCCCCCCCCCTCGCCCCCGGACGCTCCTGCGCTGCCTCCTTCTCCTTCTCCTGCCTGCCGTGCCGTTCGGCGGCAAAGTCATCAAGCTCTGAGTGTTTAAAATTTAGGGCTCATAGGAGGGTAAACTGGGGGCTTCCGGGGCTTCGGCTTACAGCAGAGCCATGGTTTAGGGTTTAGGATCAGTTTCGGGCTCAAGGCCGATCAGATGGTGAGCTTTTAGCGCTGAAGGAAGCCAAGGTGCTTGAGTTGGGACTCCATGGCATCTGCATCCTTCCATGCCTCGTAGGTGCCTGAGCTTCATGGTCAAATCCCAGCGACTCCCATTTCAGGATTTCTTACTACATGTAACTGTAAAACCCGAAACTCTAAACCCTAAAAGGCTGAGCTTTACCCGCTTTGAAAAGGCACTCCGGCGCCAGCCAGGACTAGTATAAAAGCGCCGGCTGTGTCGCTAGGAATATGAGGGTCAGGGTAAGTGCATTGCGAGTATGCTCCCGGCTCCCGCCCGACCGCACGTGCTCAACACTTCGATTCGGGTTCACTGCCCAAGTAGACACAATGATTAGGGGTTTGAACATGTGAGCTCTTCACACCGGAAGAACTGCGACGCCGGACGTCATGGGGAGTTGGAGCCTGTGTCTGCTTGGATGGATGTCGCGGAAACGCAGCCCCTCACCCAACAGTTTTCGTCATCCGAAGTTTTACCACGTGGGACCCGAAGTTTCATCGCACCCTGGCGAAAACAGGAACTTCGAAACCCGTAGCTGCCAAGTGGCGCTTGCCACCGGACTCCATCGTGTAGTCGGAGTTCCTTATTAAGGGGGTGGGGAGATTCAGTTTCTTGATAAATAACTTCTGGAGGGATCCTATAAGGAGGCAACCAAAAAAAACATCAACACGCGACCGCTAAACCCTAAACCCCACACCGGGAGGTCGGTGTAGGATCTGTTGAATTCACACTATCAGGGGCTCTGATAGGAGCCTTGAATGGTAGGCTTCTCAACACAATGACCCTACACATACGGTACCCCTAGTGCCCTAGTTTTCTTCCGGGATGGAAACGGATCTGCTGTCGGAAGCCTAGCGGTTGGGGTCAGTTTGGGGTGTACTTGGAGGTTATTGGTAGTTATAAGTGGGGATATGTACATAGTAAGGTAGCTATAACTCATATAACCCATGTTCAGGGACTTACAACTTCACTTATAACTACCGATGAACCTCCCACTATGACTCTTCCTTCCCAGCGAGGCTCTTCGGATCTGTTTTGAAGGTGAATTCGGACCAACAGTGTCTGCATCTGCCATAGAACCGGTACACCTCGGGCGACAGGGACGCGGGCTTGTCGGATTGCTACGGTTCAGAGAACATGCCAAGGGGTCTTGCAAGCTTGAAGCTCATCTCTTTTCCAGAATCAAAACCGAGCTTTGACATACTTTGACATACCCTACACCTCGTCGTCGAAGGGGAAGCCCCAAAGCTTCATGTAGGCTTGGGCACAGTGGTGGGGTTTAGGGGGTTTGGGGGTCCCAGCCCCAGCCTTCAGCCCGAGGTAGCTCTCGCGCTTGATCTGTTCAACCTTGGCCGTGAACTTCGTACCTCCAGGCACGGTTTTAGGGTTTAGCGGTTTAGGGCTTATAAGAAATAGTGTTACGGATCTCTTTGAAATCCTTTTGAGGGGTGTCCGTTGCAAGGGGTGCGTAGCATTACGAGCCCAACCCTAGACCCCAAAATGTCCTAAAAACCCTAAACCTGCAACTCCCAGAGAGAACTTGTTTTTGGGCTAGGGGTTTAGAGTTGGACATGACTCCCTTACCTTAGAGTTGAGGGCAGAAGCCTAGTTTTTTTGAGTTCAGGGCATCAGGTCGACGGTACGATCTTGGTCGGAGGCTTGGTCCGACGACCCCTCAAGACTAAACCCTACCTTAAGAACCCAAAACCTACTTTTTTGTAGGGTCCCTATAAATCCCATATTAGGGTTTAATAAGAACCTACAAAAAAGTGGGTTTGGGGTTCTTAAGGTAGACCTTAAATACTGTAAAACCCTGACACCCTAAACCCTCAAATCCTAAACCCAAACCCTCGAACCCTCGAACCCTAAAGCGCTAAAACCCTAAACCCTAAAACCCTAAACCCTCAGTTTGGAGTTTGCGCTGAGAGGCATAGGGCCCAGGGGATTTTGGCTCAAGGGTACCGGGGCTTACGGAGAAGGGAGAAATCCCAAAGGTGTGATTCGGTTGTCGGCGAGACGCAGGGGCATCTATGATGAAGTCGGGATATTAAGCTCTGTAATGGCAGTTCTAGACAGACCCTAAGCCTAGAGTTAGGCTCTACTTGTCCTGTACTGCATTTCCCGAAAAAACCCTACGACCTTCCTATGCCGTCTTCGAACTACCGATACGAAGGCAAAAAAACCCTACGATCCGATAAGAACAATGCTTCAGAACCGTATAAAACTGATTTTTTACGGAGCCTCCATACAAAGCTCTCAGATTTCGAGCCCTTGTTTGAACTCACGGCTTCTCCCTCGCTGCTATCCCCGCGCTTGAATACGGTTTCAAAGTCTAGAAAGCCCTCGGGTTCGGAGAATCTGGACATTGCCTGCGTGCTTGCTAGGCAAACCTTGTGCCTTTAATTCTGTGGCTGGAGGGGCCAGAAACGCCGTAAGTGCTCCATCCTAGGCCCTTTAAACTCTAAACCTGGCTAGAAAGAGTTGCCGGGCCTGTACCCATAGGCCCTAAAGTAGTTCCTTTTTGGGGGTTCATATGTAGAATCCTATAAGGTAACCCCCAAAAAAGAACTACTTTCCCTAAGCCCTAAACCCTAAACCCTGAACCCTAAACCCTAAACCGTCCCCACAAAAGAACTACTTTAGGGCCTATGGGTACTTCGAGGAAACTTGGCTCTGAGGAAGGGCCGGGCTCCCGAGTTTAGGGCTTTCCGAGGGTTCATAGGGGTAGTCGTCAAAATTAGGGTCCCTTTTGGGTTTAGGGTTTAGGGTTTAGGGTTTTGGGGTACCCGAAATAATAGGTGCCGTATTATAATAAGGAAAAGGGACCATAATTTTGACAACCACCCATATCGTACAAGACATGAAGGAGGCCACTAAAAGAGTATTGCCAATGTTGATGATATCAATCCTGCATTACCTCAAGGACCCCAAACTGTAGGAACTGGGTAATATTCCTTATTTATGGGTAATGCACGGTTTAGATCATCAGCCATACTTATTAATCCCCTAAGGCTATCCTGCACTGAGTCAAGTCCCGTTTAGATCTTCGATCCCGGGTCGATCCTGGGCTTTCTAGGGGTTGGGATCTTGCAGGGTTGGTTTAGGGTTCCAGGGTTTAGGGCTTTAGGGGCTTAGGGTTTAGGGTTTGAAGGCTTTGGTGTTTAGGGTTTTAGGGTTTAGGGTTTGAGGGGATGAATTTGAGCCAATGTCAGGCCTGTGTAGTTGTACTCCTTGCAGGAGTCACAGACCATAGTGAATGGGAACCTTGGCGCAGAATCCGGAATCCGGAAGAAGACCCCACCACCGTAGACCCAAAGTTCTTGCGGCCAGCTTGAACATACCGACAACAATCATAGTCAGAGGACTCCGACCCCAAAAACACCGGCATCAAAACCCTAAACCCTAAACCCTTTTTGCAACAGGCTTTAAGCCGGTTAAACCCTAAACCCCTAAACCCTAAACCTCAAACAAGACCCATGGGCCAAGGGCAGTCAGTCATATCAAGCCCCTGGGTGGATCTCTCTTCAGAGCGGCATATATTATAGACTGACTGTACTAAGGTACCCTGGCGAAGACTGCTCATGTCGAAAAATGAACAGGCCTATGTTAATCTGAGCGGCAATTCTACTGAGAACTCTTAGTCTGTTCACTGCCTTAATGGCAAAAAATATGGTACTCATAAGACTAGCCGCAGAAAGCAGTGTCTGGCAGACCCGCGGCACTTTAAACCCGAAAAAACGCAGGTACCCTAAACCTTACAGTTCTATACACCCTATCACCAGACCCCATGCACCCTAAACCCTGGACCCAAAGCCCTGTAAGCCCTCTGGCCCATGTCTGCGAACATAGAGCGTCAAACGGATCAACCATGACCTTGAACCCCAAACACCATGATCGACGACCCGGTTCCCCTGTAGGCCCTTAATAATGAGGGTACCCTTATTTCCTACTATTTGGTTTTCGCAAGGGCACCCAAAAAGAAAAAAGGGCAAAAGGGTACTACTGGGGAACCTAGGTATGTAGGGGCCTTATTCGTATGGTATAAATATAAGAAGGGAACCCCCCAAAAAAATACTGTAGGTAATTATTGAGGCCCCTATGTTAGACCTGATCTGCGACCCTAGACCCTAAACCCTAAAATCCCTAAAATCCCTAAATCCTAAACCCTACTGCGACCCTAGATCCTAAACCCTAAACCCTAAAATCCCTAAATCCTAAACCCTAAAATCCCTAAATCCTAAACCCTAAACCCTAAAAGCCCTAAATCCCTAAACCCTAGCGACCACGGAGCATCATTCGGATGTTCATCATCTGCGGCCCTTTGGGCTTCAAAGCCTCGGGACTCTGCTCACTGCCGAGGTCTACCCTTAAGGGTTTAGGGTTTAGGGCTTAGGGTTTAGGGTTTAGGGTTTAGGGTTTAGGGTTTCGGGTTTAGGGGTTACTTCGCTACTTACTAGACCACAAGAGCTACTATAATACCAGTTACTATATAATAAGACTTACTATAATAAGAGCTACTATGATAAGAGCTACTATAATAAGAATTACAAGACGAGTTCCTGTAAGAGTTTCTAGAAGAGCTACTGCAGGCCATACTATGACGGTTACTGGCACAGTAGCGGGGTACTCTAAGGCTTACCCTGAGCTCAGCTTTGACGACAGCTTCCCTTTATGAACCGCTCATGCCGGCTTAGAATGCAACACGCCTGACCTAAACCCTAAACCCTAAACCCTCTTTTCGGTGCCTTCACGGGCATCAACTTCGAGGCATCGAAGTCAGGTGGGTAGTAGACGCCAGCAGTGAAGGTCCACCCTGCCATCACATGCTGCTTAATAGCACCACGGTCAAAAACACAAAGTCCCAAAGTCCCGGGATCGGTTACACCTAGACTCTTCTGCTTGTAAACTGAGCTGAGATAGTTTATAAAGACCGGGCCTTCAGTTACCAGGTTGACAGCCGGATACACCCAAAACCAAAGGCTTTTCTACGCATCCCAGCGTGGTCACTGTTACTTTTCCCAGCCGCAAGAGCCCTGAATCCGGATCCTGCAGGACCCCCCCCTGGCTTAGGGTTTAGGGTTTAGGGGTTTAGGGGTTTGGGGTTTAGGGCCTTAGGGCCTTAGGGATTTAGGGTTTATAGGGTTTTAGGGCCTTAGGGGTTTAGGGCTTAAGGGGACGTGCCTACGAAGGCGCTCTTCATGAACTTCGAGGACATGGTTCCGTCCGCCATGCTGACGACCTGGGCTCAAACCGACCCGCTCCCTGTTGTAATATAGGGGCCTTAATAATGAGAATAGGGTTTGGGGGTCCGTTAGACTACACTTATAATAAGGAACCCTCGAAATAGTATAGGTAATATTGAGGCCTCTATATTAGGAGCTCTTCTGGTATCGGTAAGTATTGTAGCTCTTATAGTAAGCTTTATGATAGTAGACACCCTGGGCTTCCCCTGATTTAGGGTTCAGGGTTTAAGGTTGTAGGGTTGAATGCTTAAACTTGTGATGACTGTGCTATTCGAGCACTATCTCTACATTCTATATCGATCAAAGTGGTTGCCCTCTCTACATTCTACATCGATCAAAGTGGTTGCCCTGCAAGCGTTCCACGCAATTTCCGACCCGTAAAGCAAACCTCAACGAGACTGCCTCACAAAGCCATCAACACCTTTTGTAGCGTACCCAGGCAAGAAATCCCATACCAAGCCCAGACATAGACGCCTGGGTTTCGGCGGTTTCGTTGTGTATGTAGAAGATCATGTACTCCGATGGTCTTGCTTGGAAACTCAACTCGAGAGAACTCCGAATCCGAACACCGCTGGCAGGGTGTAGAGATTGGACTTAACATGTATATTGTAGGGGCCTTAATAGTTTCAAAAGGGTCTGGGGGGGTTCCTTATTATCAGTATGGTATAATATACACCAAACCCTATTCTAATTATTAAGGCCCCTATTAATTAATGGCAAGGTGAACGAACATCTGTCTTTCACACGTCTACGCAATTTCCACCCAAACTCTAAACCCAAAACCTTTTTTAGGGGGGAGGGACTCGTCGCTTGCCCTCTGTGCCAGCGCAGCCCTAAATCCAAAACCCCAAAACCGAACCCTTGATAAAAACCTAAACCCTAAACCCTAAACCAAATACCCAGAAGTAGAATCAGTCCCCGAGCTGCTGCTGGCTCGGCCCTGCGGGCTCGCAGGGCACACAAGGGCTGTACAAAATGAAGGGCTGGTTCCCTTGGGCCAGCGAGCTGCGGTTTAGGGTTTAGGGCTGGCTCCCTTGTGCCAGCGAGCTGCAGCAAGCAACGCAGATCCGACGGGTTTAAGGCTCAGGGTTTAGGGTTTAGGGGAACCCTAACCCTTTGGTGCAGCTGGGCTTTATAAGACTAAGTGTCAGCCAGCAGGTTGAACCCTAAACCCTAAACCCAACGGTTTAGGGTAAATTATGAACCCTTCAGGAGCTCGGGGATCGATCCCATTACGTCTCCCATCTCATCCCCCACCCAGCCACAAGCCTCAATCTCAGCAAATCCGTCAGCCCAAAGATCCTTCAACAAAGCACCTGAAAGCCGCTGATTCGATCCTTAAATAATCCGCCGAAACTCAGAATAAGAGGAACCCTCAGGAGCAACGATGTGAATAAGAACTGTAACCATTCCGCTGAGGGCTACGGTGACCCACCTGTGCTCTCACGGTTCTCGTACTGCTATCGAACATGATGCAGCTACATACCTGCCTAAATCCTTAAATCCCAAAACCCTAAACCCTAAACCCTAATCCCCAAACCCTAAACCCTAAACCCTACTACACCCTAAACCCTAAGGCCCTAAGAATGATGATAAGCACCGCCGGAGCCGCAGGACAACGTCCGGTTTGAGGCCGGCGGTTACCTCGCAAATGCAGCCAAAGCCACGCTAATGTAGGGGCTTTAGAAATAGGATTTTGGGGCTCCTTTATAGTAGACTCATGATAAAGGAACCCCCAAAATATTATAGGTAGTTGTTTAGGCCCCTACATTAGTGTGGGCTTAATATGGACACGCCGTGTGGGGGTTTTAGGCTAAGGCACTTTCGGTTCCACGACTTCTGGCCCAGGCAAGACGCACATCCTCGAAACTAGCCACTCGATACCGCTCTGTAGGTAAACCCAGACTTGGCGTCCCATGAATAACGATGAAACAATACTTGGAGGTTCATGGGTAGTTATAAGTAGGGTTATAGGTCCCCTAATATGGCTTATAAATATAGTTAGCTTACTTTTAACTCCACTTATAACTACCCATGAACCTCCAAGTAGAGGTGCCTCTTGCCTCAGTCGGAACCATGACATGCAGAACGAACAAATCTAATCTACGGGGAACAATGGCACCATCTGCATGTGTCACAAGCTGCGGCTTCAACCCTAACAGAGCCGCCCTAACAAGTAGACTGGGGCTTTGGGGGTATATGGGACTTTCCGAAAATTAGGGATACCTTATTTGGGGGTCCTTATAATAAGGATCCTACTATTGAGGGTACTATATTAGGGTCCCCTATTTTCGGAAACCCCCATATAGGAAGCCCGAGGCCCCAAACCAAAAGCCAGAGCTTTGCAGCTGCATGCCGAGGCGCACATTCCCAAAACAGAGCAACTGCAACCTGGTGAGAACGGAACGGGGAGGCTCAGGCAAGCGCTGACTTCGAAGCCATGTGCTAGGTTGAGGCTGCAGGGTCCCTAAACCCTAAAGTTTAGGGTTGAAAGAAGCCTCTCTTGTTTAGGTTTCGAAGGCTCCGGGCGTAAGGCTTCATGGAAGGGAAAAATCTTTGCATTTTCTTCGGAACCTGATCCAGAAACCCTGGTCCTTGTCTTATAACACTAAAATTTTTTGGATCCACATAAAGGGCCCTCAAAAAAAAACAAGGTTTCTTGCTCCGGTCACTCTGGACCTTGTAGCTCCGACACCTGTCTTCTCTGGAGCGTAACGGCTGCATCCTTGTGATTCCGGCTTGGGGACCTAGGATTAGGGGGACCCTTGGGGATATAGACCCTCTCAATAAGTCCCTTTTAAGAGAGCCAAAGTAGGGTTCAGAAGGGGCACCCTTTAAGGGATACCCCGAATAATACTACCTAGGCTTCCCGATGGGCATCCGAAATGCGGGGTTTGGGGTTTAGGGAACTGCGCCCAACCGGCACAAAGCTGCTTTCTGCCATATGGTGATGTACTATAGTACAGCTCCTAGGTCCTGATGCAACCTTACATGTACCTGCCATCTTTGAGATGCTCCGACATTAACTTCAATGAATTCTCGTCCTACCATGTGCAAAGCGGAACCAACTCTGCAATGCACCTGCCAGCTTCCGCCGCGTTCGGCAGCAGCTACAGCGGCCGAAGACGCAACAAGGCTCATGGGAAGGCGACGTGCCTGCAGCGCGTAGGGCTTTCCAGGCGCTTGGATTTCGGGTGGTCCAGGGCGGCCACGCCGCGCAGCTTTAATCAACAATTCGTGGATGTACCGAGGACTTGCGTATGCTCGCCCTACGTGCTGATAAACTGTCGCCGTCTTCGCCACGGGCAACCATGCTTTTGATGAGCCTTGGACGCACAACAGACTGCTGGGCTAGCCATACGTCGCCCTGGTGCAGAATAGGCCCTATAAGTCCTTCATTCATACCCCTGAATAGCCTGGAAACCATAAATGCTGGGACTGGTGCGTGCTGCAAGGCAACAACAACAACACCTTCCTGTCGGAGTTCCTGCGCGCCTAAACCCTAAACCCTACCTTCATCTCGCCGATGAGGGATACAGCCCCCTTCCAATGTGCACCTCAGACTCCGAAAACGAGTCTGAGCTTTGCTTGCAATAAAGCTGTAGGCGGTGGGGCAGGGTTTCTGGGGTCCCGATACACATAGAATCGGCACAATCCAATTGGAAATGCGATTCTCCCAAGGATACCAGACAGTGCGGAATTGTGGATTCTTGTTAAGTCAAGGGGGGCTGCTTAGAATCATGCAAGACTCTATTTCTTCGAAACTTGTTCCCAGCAGCTGCTGGTTTTGAGGGTTTGGCTCTGACGGATAAAATGGGTAAACGTCTGATTTGCAGTGGCGACTTTTGATAAGATGGTAAGATTTCGGGGCTGTAGGGAATGCAGACAAACATACATGCATATATACATATACATATATACATATACATATATATATATATACATATGTATCTATACATGTGTATATCTATATATATATATATATATCTATATATATATATAAACATACATATATGTATGGTGACGGCGCCTGTACGCGCCTATGTGTTTTTGCACATTTCAGGCTATTGGGGGGTTGGGGGGGAGGGTGGGGGGTGGGGGGGGGGCTAATAACGTCATCTTCTACTCTCAGCTGTTCGACTCGTACTAGGTCTACTACTGCTGCTGCCTGCTGGCCTGCTGCCCTTTAGGCTGTTGGACTCGTACTGGCTCTAGGCTCCATTACCCTCGTTTGCCGCACTTTGGGGGTGGGGTTGGGGCGGGGGGGTCGGGGGAATGATGACGTCTTGATGCCATACATCCGCATGAT